TATGCCCCTTCCTATATAACCCAGCACCTTTCCCTAATAAAGCGGAACTCTGGTGAATTGCTGCTGTGTGTCGCTCCTTTCCTTTCAGTATGTTTCATTGTTTTTTACATATTCATCTTTTATAAAAGGGTAAGTGATGATAATACTGTATTCCAAAAACTAGCAAGAAAAATGTCAGTAAAAATTTATTTGTAATTATTTTTAATGAGTTATGAAGTTGTATCTTTATAAAAAGGCTTATTAATGTTTCCTTTTCGCTTTTGAGGCTGAGTGAAGGTAAAAGAAGGTGGTTTGATTGAATAGAGCTTGGGAAAGAATAATAGTAAAAGTTGAGATTTAAAGTAATAATAGGAAAATCCACAAACTCCTGTGCTTCAGTTGTTCCAGGTAAAAGTATGATTGAAAATGATGTATCAGGTATCAAAAGGTTGCACGAAATTATTCGGAGACCTTTGTTACAGACATTTATGTAAGGATTTCTATTTTTCCAGATACTCTCCTAAAGAAAAACCCTAATGAAGTTTATTAATGTAGATATAGGGTCATAAGTAGAGAATTGGGCTGGGAACTTAGGCTTCTTTTGCTTTCTTGCCACTAATCCTGTGATCTTGGACAAGTCAGTTTGCTCTAGGCCCAAATTCTTTAGCTGTTCAGTGAATGCATTGTCCTAGGTAATCTTTAGATGTTTTCCAGCTCTAAAATCATATGGTTCCACACTTTTTAGATTGAGACTGGGTAGCCGCTTGGAAGAGAGTGCAGAATTTACCTTGACACCACTGATTGATGTTTCCATTTCTGCCGGGAGCTAATATAAAAGCTTGTTGCTATATTAGAAAAAAATGAAAAAAGCCTAACATGGTGTTACACAAGAATTCCTGTCATTACAGTTCATGGGTTTATTGCTTGGTTCTCATTTCTAATTTGTATAGCTTCTCTTATTTTCTCTCACTTTCCTTACCTGTTTTTTTAAAATTTCTATTGTATTTTTTCTGATGTTGCTTTTTCCAAGTATACTTGCTCTTCTTATGATGGTTATGTCTCTGTGTTGAAAAGGGTCATTTATTAGGTTACCATTCATGTAAAAATACTTTCTGTGCAGGTATTTGGCATCTGGGGCTACTACAGAATTCCAGTGCTTTAGGTAGTCCCAATCCTATAAGCATACATGCATACATAAAGACAAACATTGTCTGAATACAATGGACTATGTTATTTACCTACCTCTGATATGAATGGGTGGTATCTCTGGATCAGGAATCGAATTACGAACCACCTTGGTGCCATAAACTGTTTTCGCTGCTGAGGAAGGAATGAGAAAGAGTGAAAGAATACAGGTGATCAGAGGCCTAAATAAGCTAGTGAAATGATTCAAAAGCTTTTTTTTAAATGCATTTTCAGTTTGTGGGCTTCTGTATGACAATGAACAGAAGGTATCCACCAGAGTAAAGGTGTCTTTTTCTATCCTAACAATTGGCTTAAGTGATCGTGGGAAATTGTTTAGTTTTGGTTTATTACTCGTTTGTCAGCATGTACTGTAAGGTGTGGGTATGTTGATTACTTGACCTTATTTTTGAGATTAGGCAAAAACATTTATTAAAGCACAATAGCAGTGGGGCCAAGTACTAGTAAGAAAATACTACAGTAGAAAAGAAAATGAAACTTAGCTTTATATAAATGTGTTCACATTGGTCATTGGTACAGTGTCACTTTGTATTTAGTAACAAATGGATTTTGAAATAGTCTTTTGGAATCTAACCTTTTAGAGAGAAACTTCTGTATCAGGAAACATCTCTTGATTCTGGTTTTACTTTGTTACTGTGGTTTTTCAAGCTTAGAATAATGTTTCCTCTTTATCAAAAGTACAACAGTCATTCTTTATAAAGAATATCTGTACAAACAGCTTAAATATCTAATGATAGTTTTAAAAACAATGTCATTAGTATAATCCTTTTTATTATTACTATGGGCACATAGGTAATTACAGAAGACATTTAGACTACCCAGGTCTTTCTGTAATTATCTTGGTGCCTGGAACATTGCTTTGCAAATAATAGGCACTTAAACATTTATTCAGTTGAATTAGGGAGACATAATTTTCAAATGTGGCACAATGTACAGTTAGTGCTAACTTGGTGGTGTGGGCAATTAAGAGGTATATTTCTGAAAGTAGTGATCTAGATAGGTTGAGGCATAGAGGTTGGGACGCCTAGTGAGAGAAATGGGCCTTGAACATTGAAGAAAGGAAATGAGAAGTAGGAGGGGTATTCCAGGAATGTGGAATAATAGAGTTTGAGAAGGGATGCAAGAATGAATGTGGCAGATCATTAAGAAGGCAAGCCAGGTATGGGTAATAATTTAAAGGAAAAGACTATAGTAACATTTGTCCAAGGCCAACTGTATGTCTTGTGTTTATTCTGTCTGTGATCAATTTAGGTCAAAGCATTCCTTTTTCCCCTCTAGATATGGTGCATTGCTCAAAAAGGACCCAAATGTGCTAAACACCAAAACTTCCCCAGTGTTGGAGTTGAACTCATCATTACTGAAAGGGGTGAGGCGAAGTGGGTGTGGGAAGAAACAGGTTAGAATTTCCTTTAGTGAAGTTGAAATATTACCTAAATTGAATTCTTAACTCTTATTTTATTTTGATTTCCAGTTAGGGAAATCATAGTCATATGATGGCCCATAGAGTCCAGAATTTTTAGGGAATAGGCTTTACTTTAAATTTTAGGGAATTTAAAAATTCCAGTGTATGACTTGACTGGCACATGCTATCTGCATTTAGTTTTCAGGGAAACATTCACCAGCTCAGCTTCATTGTCTTTTTAAAACTAAAATTGTACATGATATTTCAAAGAACTAGATGTTATTTAATGTGATTATTTTTATAATCTTTGTCTTTTCATGTCACATATGTGGCCATAACCATAATATTTAATGAAATTGTGATAAACTCTGAAATTTTTCCTTTTGTTAGTAGTGCTAACTTTTTTTTTAATAGGCAGACATCTTTGGCAGGCACTTACAAGCATTTCTCCTTCCACTATGAAATTGTTTTCACTCTTTAGTTGCGTTTCTGTTTTTCTACTATTGTAAAGTGCAGTTCTTTGCATGTTCTAATTTGCCATGACGTGGTCAAGTGCTGTTTCCTTCCTGTTGCTTGCAAGCCTGTGCTAGAGATAAGGATACATTTCAGTGCATTAAAAAAGAAGCCACTGAAGACAGGCTTAAAAGCATGGTAAAACATTCTATTTATTAGAAACCTCTTTAAAAAAACAGAAAGAGTAGGCTTTAATTTCTGCTTATTTTTGAAAGTACTTAAAATAGTACTTACTAAACTTTAAATGTATTAGACAGATTTTAAGTCCTTATGTATATTAGGCCTAACAGGAATACTTTCTGAATGTTTCTATTAAGGCAAAAATGTACAGATGAAATTCCTCTTTGAGTAGTAGTTCTTGTGTATGTTGTTTGCTGGGATGGTGGAAAGAAGGAAATTGTTTTTCTGTCTATTGTTGGAATTACAAACCTGGTTATTGCTGGGGATTTTTTTTTTTTTTAATATTCATTACTTTAACTGTATTTTCACTGGAGGAGGGGAGAATGGGCTTCATTTTCAGATATGAGAGGTGACCTTAGCAGGAATGAAATCTTCAAAGAAAATTTATATTTAATTAAAAAAAAACCCTGTGTTCATTTAGTCACATTGATTTTCTTTAAAAACATTAACAAAAAAAAATGCTTTGGAGATACTGCCCATGATATCAATTGTTATATTCTAAAGGGTATGACTGCATTTTCATAACTAACTAAAGTTTTTGTTTTGCAGGCCAAGACGTTCTAGAGAAGAAAAATTTCAGAAATATCCTCAGTTTGTGTAGAATACCGTGAACCAAGAATATTTGAAACACCTTCCCTAAGGAAACCTGGGTATTCAGTAACTTCGCCTACTTAGCTGAGGATTTTTTACCCAAATTGGTCACTGGACTGTGCATCCTGATACTTGAACCTTTTTGGAGCTTTTCTCATGTGGATCTAAGGGGAATGCTTTATTATGGCAGCTGTTGTCCAACAGAACGACTTAGTATTTGAATTTGCTAGTAACGTCATGGAGGATGAACAACAGGTATGAGACCCAGAGAAAATTGGATTTTAATAAATGTATTATATGGTTTTTCCATTTCTATCAGAAAATTTATTAAGACAGTGGGAAAAACTTTACTTATATAAAAATTTAGATATTAAAAATCTAGAGGTAACTGATCTTATGAGGATACTGTTAATTGATTAAGAAACAATCTCATCCTCAGCTTTGTTGTGTAAGAAGGAGGTAATACTTGTGGGTTAAAGCTTGTTTCTTTGTAAAATGAGCCTTAACAGTAAATAAGTAATTATTAAGTAAGTAATTATTTCAGGGTACTTTGAAAAGTTCTAGAAGACATAGTGAACGACATGTAAATTTTTTTATAGTTACAGGACTGGTGATTGTAATAGTTGCTTGTACTCCAAAGTTTTAACGTGTGGTTAATTAATATTTATAATCCTGGATTATTTCATCAAGTGGGTTAAAAGATGTTAGCATTCCCGTGCTCATAATATATCATTTCATTCCAAAGCATGTGACTCTGGGGAAGTTACTTCACTTCTCTATATTTAGATTTCAGCATCTGTTGAATGAGGGGATTGAACTGAAGAATTTCTAAATTGGCTTTCAATGAATTATTATAATATATGCCAATTACGGTTTCCAGAATCTAAAAGAGATCCAAGAGATACTGAAATCTAAATTGATTTGTAGCTTCCTCCCATCTCTTAGTGGGGAGAGCCTGGGGGTTCTTGGGACTTTATAATTTATTTTAAACAGATTTTGTGGGAATGTAAGACATGATACAGGAGAAATGTTGTGTTAGATTCAGTGTCCTGGCAAAAATATTTTGAGGACTGGTATGTTTAGAATATGCCTAAAGATGTTGATTTGTATGTTGAAATAAGCCTAATCTCAAATATCTAACTTTAATAAGCCAGTTATAATGTATCATGCTTTTTATTCTAGAAACATAGTTACTACAGATAATAAAATTGTTTATTTCTTTTGTCAGGGCATTATTTTTTAGCTGTTTGTATTGTTTCCTAAAGGGACAGAATACAAAATTGCAAGTAAACCTACAAAAGATGAGAATTTGAATTAAGGTGCCTTAAAAATCAAGATGAACTTTGGCTAGGGAGGAAAAAGAGTTTGAGGGAGAAAATTGCTTGGTCCCAATTAAAAATATATTAACAGCTATATGGATTTAATATAGAGAAAATAAAAAGATATTTTAGGAGGAGAAAGTGTTCTGAAGTTGTTTTAAAACAGGTTGTTTTCTGTATGTGAAGGTTTGAAAACTGTTGACTGTGCAGCCCTCTTAGATGAAATGTCCCAGGCTTGCAGTGGTGAAGTTTGTTCTCTGTGTGGCTGCAGAGGACCTGGCTCTAAGCCCTCCACTGGTATCCTATAGTGCAGTGGCTTTGACGCCCTTGACCTTGAGAAATACATTTCACACTATTATGTAGTATTCATACATGTATCTATATAGCCTTAAAAGTTGTTTTGTGAAGCAATACTATGTATGATACACTTAGTTTATCTTGAAGAGATTATTAGTATCTTTGGATGGGAGATGGTGGTTTTAGCTTAAAGGCAGAATTCACATATATGTATTTTCTTAAGCTATTTTTATCTAACAAAATGAATATATTTTAGTTTTGTACAGGTATTATTATAAGAACTTTACAAATATTAAACATATGAGGCAAATCCTATTGCCCCCATTTTACAGTGAGGCAGTTAATACAGAGAGAGGTTAAGTGACTTGCCTAAAAACCACACAGGTAGTAAATAGTGGAGCTGCCATTTGAACCCAAGCAGTGTGGCTCTCACTAATGTTGATGGATACTCTTGCAGTGATATATACCAGTCCTACTGTATTATAATCAGTGTTACATAAGCATGGCAAATATAACTGATTCACACAGAAGTAGATCCAATAGTGTCAGTCTTCTTAATATCTTATCTAACTTCTGTCTCTATTTCCGTGTTTATTTGCTTGTTAAATTTATGTTTAATTTAAAAGTAGCAATGTGGCAATTATAAAAGAAGTCACCTGATAATAAAAAATACATAAAATAAATAGTGAAGGTTTTTCTTCACACTCACTTCCTAATCCTGTTCTCCCCAGAAGGTACCAGTGTTGACTATTTGATGTGTAATTTGTTAGAGAAAGGCCTAAACAAAAGAACAATACCTGTACCTATGTAAGAGAGGTGGTTTTTAAGATACAAATGAAAGTATGCTAACTTTTTGTGACTTGTTTTTTTCATATAGAGTATTATAAATATTTGTATATATGCTAGTTTTGTATCATTTTTCCATATGTGATGGATAGTCACTACTTGGTTTACTAGTTTTTGATCATGAATGATTGGCTATTACTACTTATTTCACTTATTATAATAATTATATTACTACTTTTTATAGTAAATATACTTACAATAAGTATTATACTACTTATAACAAAGAATATTGCAGCGAACAGCTTTGTTTGGGATGCAGTAGATCTTTCGTGGTTAACAGCTCAGATACTGGAGTCAGAACAGCTGGGGATGAATCTTTGCTCCGCTACTTAATACCTCTGTGACCTTGGGCAAGTTACTTAATCTCTCTGAGCCTTGGTTTCCTCATCTTCCAAATGAGGATGATAATAACCGACCCTGTATTATAGGGTTATTGTGTGGATTAAATGAATTGATGTATATAAAGCTCTTAAAACCATGCCTGACACATAGCTAATACTTACCTATCACTATCATTTCATTATTGTATCTGTGTGTGTATATGTTATTTTATATATGTGGTGTACATTTGTATGATTATTTCTATAGGATTTCTAAAAATAGATTTACTGAGTCTATTAAAGCATGAACACCATCAAATCATCTTCAAAAAGGCTATGTCAGTTTCTACTACTGCTAACAGTATATTTTTCCCCAGTCATCACCAATAGAAACAATTTTAAAAACCTTTTTGTTAAGTTTGGTGAAAGATTACATTTTACTGTTTTAATTTGTGTTTTTCTATTAGTAGTAAGGTTGTTGGATTATTTGTTAATTTTAGTTATTGTTCATTTGAAAATTCTTTTAATTACTTACTAATATCCTTTTGCCTGGTAGGAATTCTTCATATGTTATGGCATCAGTAGTATTGTCTTCTAACTAATTCATTGTACAGTTAATGTTTAACCTTCTTTTTGTGACACACAATGCAGATATTTTGTCCCTATCTGGTATTTCCTTTTAACAATATGCTATCTTGTGCCTTATAGAAACTTTTCATAAAATTTACCAGTATTTCTCTTTTTTTATTTTTCTGCTTAGAAAAACTTTCCTTACCCCTAAAATTATTAAATTTTTTCTTTATATTTTCTTCTAGTATGTTTTATGTGTTGAACTCCTCAGTCCATTGAAATCTACTTTTGTAGGACGTGAGGTACAGGGAATCTGACAACTCTCTTCTCCCACAAATGGGGCTTTAGGTCCTTCACTTTATTGACTGTTTTATGATTACCACACTAAGATTGCTACCTTTGCTGTATCCTAAATTACCACAAGTACAAACTACAGTTTTGAACTGGCTTAGTGTATTCTGTTCCATTTAACTGATTTTGTATTGTGCCACCACTATCATATTGCCTTCATTAGTACCACTTTATAGATTTGACATCTGATAAGATACATCCCCACCAAAAAACAAAAATTGGGGTGAAGTTTTGAATGAATTTTAGAATCAGCTTGTTAAATTACATAAAAACTCTGATGTGATTTTATTTTTTAAAAATTAAAAAGTATTTGTCTTTCAAGATAATTTACTGTTTTGCAATTCTCTATTGGTTTGATTGGTTGGTTCTTTAGAAAATCACTGTGTGAAGGCACCAGATTAGAATATATTTCCTGTTCTTAGTTATGGTCTGTGGTTATAAATGTAGTCATCTAAAGAAACTGATACCATTAATGTCTGCTTGCCACCACCTTGATTATTTTCCCTTATATTGGTTCATACTCTTTACAAGATTGTTTGGAAAACTCCTTTGGGAAGGGTGGGCATGGGGTGAGGGGACATGTGTTGGAAAGAAAATATCAACGTGTTGGTGTTGACAAGCCACTTAAAAGTCTATTCTTGCTGTCTATTCCAAACTGGGAATATTTGTAGCTGAGAATGAGGCACTTCTGTGGGAGAGAAATACCATATTTACTGAATTGCAATATACTTTTATTTGAAGGTGCCTTGGTTTGACTTTATTAAGCAGGCGTGTTTGTCCGGTAAATGGATGAGAATAAGAAGAACCGTGTGGATACAAGTTTCTGAAGAGAAGGAAACTTGATCATATGCTCAAATATTCCAGAAATTTATTTAGTAAAAAACAGCTGATAGTTTAATGCCTTTTCTAATTTTGATATATCATTGCATTGTATGTTTTTTCAGTTGTTGGTTCTAGAATTTAGCAAGTCATAGTTATTTATGCTTAACACACTTAGCTCACTAGATGACATGCTTGGGAAAGTGAAATAAATATTTTTTAATGAAATCCCATCATAATATAAGAAGGTGGTCTTTGACATTCCTTTGTAGGGTGTAAATTGGCTCACTCTGACTATTGATTCTCAGAGGCTTAAGGGTAAAGTGCCTTGCTGTCTTTCTAACTGACTGGCTTAAGGGTGTTTAACAGTGCCTTGCTGTCTTTCTAACTGACTGCCTTGTAACTCTCAGGCAGTGTTTGGGAATCACTACTCAGTGTAACAGAGGTAAGCGTAAAGTGCTGTGGATACAGAGAATGGAGCCTTTGACTGCATTCCCACTTCTGGGAAACTTTACCATGGAATTTGCACTTGAACTGGATCTTGAAGGAAGATCCAGTTGATCTGACAGGTGAAGGATAGGAAGTGTTCCAGTATAGTAGAATGTACCAAAACTTTTGATGGATTTCTCTTGACTGTATCATCAATCTAACAACCTTAACTTAAGGTTAAAAGCTTTCATTGTGTCAGTATTTCATGTTCTTTCTTTTTTGTACTACACTAATTTTCCCATATTCTTTCCTGCTTGCCCACTGTTTGATCTCCCACATTCATATCTGTTGCCTGTTTAAGTTCTAATTATTTTTCAAGATCTTAGGACAAAATTTTATTCCAAGAACATCCTAAAGTCATCCCTTTGGGAATTAACAACTTTATCCTGTTATTCCTCTATCACTTAATGGTCATTGTCACACATTTGACATGTTTAATTTTTATATGTACATTATTAATTTCCCCAGATAAGTGCTAAGCTGCTTGAAGAAAAGGATCCCACTCTCCCAAATCAACCAAAGCATTTAACATCATTTATTGGTTGAGTCTTCTTAAAGATTTTTCTTCCACCTCTGAACTCCTCTTGAGAAAATGATGTGGGATATATATGTGCTAAGTTATGGCCTTTATCACATCAAAAGCCCTTTGAATGAGAGGTGATGTCCTGTCCTCAACTCTCTTGACTACAGTGTATATTTTTCTGAGACCTGTTTGTCCATATTCTCATTTAGTGTATGGGCAGTGTTGGTGTGTAACAACAATTTCAAGACCAGAAACAGATGCTCTCACAAAGTCTTTCTTCTGGTATGTATTTAAAACTGTCCTATTGTATGTGTTGAGTGAGAACCACCTAGATACTTTTTAAAATTGTCATTGAAATTGTAAATAAGTGAATATCTGTAAGAGTTTTCCTATTTCTCGGGAGACTCCTTCAAGCTGCAGAAGTTTTTGATATGCTTGTGTCTTGAGAATGAGCTGGTATTTTGTAGATTGAAAAGTGTGCATAAGAATGTAGATCACATCAACCTGCCATTTTTCAGCTGGAATGGTAAAATTCTGTTAGGTCAGAGATTAAGTGCATTTTAAAATTAGAGCAGAGGGAATGAGTTGAAGTGTCCTATGTGTATCTTGTTCAGCACTAGTGTCATGGAGGGCAGAAGCTATTGAACTGTATGTGGACATTGGACTCTGTTATTTACGTACAATTCCAGGTTATATGGACCAATTTACCTGTTCTTGTCACCCTCTTTTTTAGTCTTGGCAGATCAGACTTATCAGATCCATTAGAAGTTTGGCCATCATAAAACTAACATAGAGGTTGCTTGTTTCTCTTCTATATAGCTGGAAAAGCCTTCATCAAAGGAGTTACACCATAGAGTCCCCATTGCAAGCCTGGTTATCTTTGGGAAAAGTTTGGCTTTGTGCAAGACCTGAGGCCCTCTTCAAGTTAGATGAAGGGACGACCTTGCCAGGGTTTAGTGTTTGAGCTGGCTTATCTCTCTGCCAACTATGGGCAACAAGGGAACTAGTGGTTGTTAAGAAAGAGGAGTTGGTAAGGGGAGTAGGAACTTTTTTGCAGAGTCTTCGTGTCCCCCTACCACACACAGAGGCCCTGTGACATGTCTTAAAATGAATATGGATGAGATCATTGCATAGTGTAGGACATAGACTAGACAGCTCCGGAAACAGGTAGTGATGAATTTCAGTAACTAGTGTTTACACAGCCTTTTGTCCTGTGCTTTGTGGTGTGTACAGTGATTTTCCTGTCTAATTCTTACCAGAATCTTCTGAGGTAGATTCTCTGATTCTCACTTTATAGAAGAGTAAAGTGAGGCTTAGAGAAGGGAAGCCTGTGAGTGAACAGCTGGGAATTGTAACCCAGCTTGTGCCTTTAATCACTATATTTGAATAATGCCAGCCACTGATAATGTAAGTGGTAAAATGTAGAATTACTATTCTACTTCATATTTATGATTTTAGCAAAAAAGAAAATATTCTAATTAATTTGTTAGCATAATTACAGGTTGATAGTCTTTGTACCTGATATACCTGTGTATACCTTTTAAAAAAAACAGCTTTATTGATATGTAATTTACATGCCATGTAATTCACTTGTTTAAAGTGTACAATTCAGTGGTTTTTATTTATTTTATTTATTTATTTTTTATTTATTTTCCCCAAGCTATTACATTTCTTTTTTTTTTTTTTTT